GTTCTGCATTTTGACTGTGTTAATGTCAATATCCTTTTTGTCTTTCTTACTGTAGCTTTGCAAGATGTTACCATTGGCAAAAACTGGGGTAGATGGTGCACAGGACTTCTCTGTATTATTTCTTACCAACTGAATGTGTATCTATAATTATTTCAATATTAAAACGTATATTTTTTTAAAAAAGAAAGAAATATAGCTATATAGCACACTCCTGGCTAAAAGACCAAATATTGTTAAGGATTATTTTTGTCCCAATTAATGAGCAGACTTTGCACAAGATAAATCACAATTTATCACAATTTAATATTATAAATTGACAAAATGTAAAACCTCTTCTAGTAAAAAAATATGGAAAATTAAAAGATATAGAGGGGCACCTGGCTGGCTCAGTCAGTACAGCATGCGACTCTTGATCTTGGAGGTGTGAGTTCAAGGCCCACACTGGGTGTAGAGCTTACTGAAAAATAAAAAAAGATAAAAGATAAAAATTACAAAACGCTTATTCAAATAAATAAATACTCAAAACCAGCAATAGTAATAGGCAAAAAATTGAACAGTTTACAAAAGAGGAAATGTGCAAGGTCAGTAAATAACATTATGCAATGTTTAATGTCCTTAGTTAGCAAAGAAATATGAAATAAAACAATATTACACATGTCTCAAGTCTCTAGCAAAGCACTGACCAAACTGTGAACCTTCCCACCCCACCTGGAATTCAATTTGCTAGATCATTTTTCCTCAGTAATCTGAATGAATTCATAACTATTCTCTCTGAATACATCCATTAGAATAATTTACAGGATACTGTACTTCCCTTGACTTCTTGGCCTAGACCATCCTAATTTGTCTTCTTAGCCTTCCTTAGAATAACACTAGGATGTTAGTTGGATATTTTGTAATTCCCAAGTCTCTCCCACAGGGAAGAATGATGGAGTCTAGGAAAAGGGCCTGTAATAAAGATCTCAGGGAGGTGCAGGTGTTTATAAGAAATGATGCCTCCATTAGGCACATCCCACACGTCTCTCCCAGCACCGGTGTGATGCTCTCAGGAGCCCTGTTATGGCTGGTACTCTTTAGTCATAGGCCAGTGTGTACAAAGATATGGCTACCTTTTAGGTTTCCAAATTTTGAATGGGCTTAATGGTTTGGTTTTTCTCCTAAGATATATCTCTCTCTTTGTCTTAGTCAATTTAGGCTGCCTCAACACTATAGACTGGATGGCTTTAAAGAACAAACATTTATTTCTCACAGTCCTGGAGGCTGGGGAGTGCAAAATCAAGGTGCTAACCCTGGTGTCTAGTGTGAGCCTTCTTTCTGGTTTGCAGATGGCCACCTTAATGCTGTACCCTTACATGGAGGGGAGAGAAATCATCTCTCTCCTGTCTCTTCTTATAAGGACAGTAATTTATTCTCGAGAGCTCCACCCTCATGACCTAATTACTTCCCAAAGGTCCCACCTTTTAATGCAATCACATTGGAAAATAAGAATTCAATGTGTGAATTTGAGGGAGACACAAAGATTCTGTACATAGCACCATTAGATCGAGTTATTACCAGACTACACAAAGTTTCTCCTTTTAGTCTATGATGAATCCAAAAAAAAAGAGAAGGAATTAAACTTTTGGTCTGAGGTTGGGAAGTAAACAGCCTGACCCTAACATTTGCAAGACCCAGGGAAAGAGTGTAGATGGAGACACTTCTATACTATGAGCTTGGAGGCACTCAATCCAAGCCAAGCGATCCTGGTCTACAAGGGCTGACTGATCCCCCACTTCTGCCAATACCACACGTTTGAAGTGAAAAGGCTAGATTCAAATGTAGAAACCAGGTGTCCTAGAGTTCTAAGCCAAATATTGGCAGCTTTGAGAGAGTCAGTCCCCTTTCACCCAAGCCCTACTCTGCAGCCTGAATCTCTCCCTCCTCTTCCCATGCTGGGCTCCATCCTATGCTGCAGGGGACCTCAAGAACATGCACGTGGACACACCAGCTTGGAGTTCTGCACTCACCCCACCAGTAGCCAGTCTTTGGTCATGGTTCCTTGGGTGTAGAGATCAGCTTTGCAAACTGCTCTTTGGAAGTAGGATTTGGTAAAGACTTTGCACAGGCCCAGAAAGTGTCTGGACAAAAAATTCTGAGGTTCCAATCCCTGAAGCATGGTCTAGAAGGGAATGGTATGGTCTCTGCGTGAACAAATCTTTTTGGCCCCAAGACGGAAGGGCCATCAGGAGGAGCTCAGCTAGAGAGCATAGTGGAGTTTTCAGAAGCACAATGCCCAGGGAAAGGATGCTTCTTGCTAGATCTAGGGGTAATTTTCCACAAAAGTGGAAAATTATATAATTCAGTCTGTTAACTCTTCAGAAATGAATAAGCAATTTGATTGGTTTAATTCCCAACCATCCACCCCAAATGATCTTTTTTTTTAAAGATTTTATTTATTTATTTGACAGAAACAGAAACAGCGAGAGAGGGAACACAAGCAGGGGGAGTGGGAGAGGGAGAAGCACGCTTCCCACTGAGCAGGGAGCCCGATGCGCGGCTTGATCCCAGGGACCTGGGATCATGACCTGAGGCGAAGGCAGACTCTTAAAGACTGAGCCACCCAGGCGCCCCCAACCCAAAATGATCTTAATGAATCATTGTTCATACTTCGTCTTTATCTTCTGGGGAAAGTGAGATAGACCTGGAAGATTTGGTGGGTAATCTTTTTCTTTCTTTTATGTTTGGATAGGGTGGGGGTGGGGGAGATACAGAGATGAAAGGTTCAGAGGTGGACTATAGCTCTACTTTTGCTCTCTTGCAATATGATGGAAAGCACAGCACTGCTAAGATGGTAACCAAGGTATTTCTCTTTTTTTATGCCCCATCTCTATCCTAAAAGTATGAGACAGAACTATTGTTCATTGCCATTCATTTTGTTCTTCTAAGAACAAAATTTTTGTCATCATACAATGTGCTTTCACACATAACATTTTATTTCATTCCAATAGAATAGGTTGCATTCAAGAATAACTCTGATTTCTAATTTTTGTTTCAGTAATAATAAACAACTTCACGTATTCATTGGGTGAACATATATATTGAATGCTTTCTATGCATCAGGTACTTTGTAACATGTTGGAAATATAATAGTGAATAAGACAATTGATTGTGTCCTCATTAAATTTACAATCTAGTGGGGAAAACAGACAAAAAGAAGAAAAAAAATGATCAATTTTAATACTTAGCTTTAACAGGGATAAAACACAAGAGACTGAAATGCAGAATATATAGTGGCATGGATGGAGCTATTTCAGGTCTTTGCTTAAATAAAGATCCCCCTTTTAAAGAGGCCTTTTCTGACCTCTCTACTAAAAATAGCAATCCTTCTACTCTAGCACTCATCTTCTCACCTCTATTGTCACACACACACACACACACACACACACACACACACACATATTTGCTTACTCATTTTGTTTTCCTCTCTCCTCATATGTAAGTTCTATGAGGACAGGAACTGTTACCTTTTTACTGTGACAGTTGTTTTTCTTTCTCTTCTAGGATAAGAATAGTGCCTGGTGCAGAGTAGGTACTCAATAAATACTTATTGAATGAATGAATGAATAAGTCAGGGAAAGACTTTCTGAGAAAGAAACATTTAAACTGAGACCTAACGATGATCAGTTATGCAAGGGATAGGTAAGGTGGGAGGAAACCTTTCCAGGTAGAGGAAATAGCAGGTGCAAAGACCCTGAGGCAGGAAAGAGGCTGACATTTAAGGAATTAAAGGGAAGGCCCCTGTGCTGGAAGCCTGTGTCAGGTAATGGCTGGAGCTGAGGTTGGAGACACGGGCAGGGCAGGGTTGTGCTGTGCTTATAGGCCAAGGTAAGCATTGGGTTTCCCTGTAAATATGTAAGGAAAAGATATAAGCAAGGCAGAAATGTAATCATATAATTTGGGTTTAAACATAATCACTCTTGCTTCTTATAAAGCATCTATTGGAGGATGACAAAAGCGTAACCAGAGAGATCAATTATGAGACTTGTATCAGAGTAATAATATTAGGCAATATCTATTGTGCGCTTTAATCAGGCACTGATCTAAGTGCTTTATATATCATTTTATTTAAGTAAAATTTTAGCTTAGTTAATTGATAGAGTCCATGTTTTTCAAATTATTTTTCTTAAGCTTTACTTTTCCATATTATAATCTACTTTAGTGTAAAATCAGATATAGCAAAAAAAAAAAGTCATTACATTAAGGTTACTATGTTAGCATTTAATAGAGCTCCAAAGAGAGCACCACAATTTTAATGTACTCTTCATCTTTAAAATTTTGAGAAATGTTCCCATAGATATTTAAGAATTACATTTGAAAATGGTGTTGAAAATGGAGGAAAATATTAATCCAGCAATGTGTGGGATAATCTGGGTTAGGGGATATTCTAAAGTGGGAATTTAGCTGCGAAATGGGTAGGGTAATCCAGATATTAGGTGACAAAGCCTAGACTAACAGGACTGCAGTGGGAATTAGATAAAAAAGATAAACACAAGAAAAACCACAAAAAAATAAAACGGAAAGAATTTGATTGAATCTGGGGAAAGCATGAGAGAGAAAAATTAAAGATGTCTTCAAGGTTTTGAGAAAGAGAGATGTATATAGTAGAAACGTTGATGCCCTGACTAGATCCCCCTTATGTGCCCATTGCATCTATCCCCCAATTGGTGTGGATATTGTCTGTTAAGACTCACAGTTATGCTCCTGCTGGAAATATGCCCTCAAAGATTGTCATAAGCAGAGACTGGAGCTGCCCCTCCCGCAACTGCCGGGGGGTTATGTGCCCCCTCCAAGGGCAGGTAACAACTAATGCCTACGGAGGTGGGATATACTCTCAAGGGGAGACAACATGACAAGCTATTCATGCTGCCCTGTAAGATCAGGCTGAGGCTGGTTTTCAGCTGAAACCACATCTTTGCTTAGCTTCTATCCCTGCCTTATCTGTTTCCTTCACTTCCTTACAGATTTCTCCTGAGAGAACTTCCTCAGTAAATCACTTACACAAGAACCCCTGTCTTAAGCTCTGCTTCTATGGATACTGATCCAAGACAGAAGAGTATGGAAATACTGGAGTAACTGACAGAAAAGGGAACTTAAGAGAAGGGTGCTAATTTGGATTTGTTTCATAAATACTATCAATCCTTACCAGTATAGTCTGAATTCTCTTGGATCACCCATCACACAGGATGCACCCTGCATGCGTGCGCACAGCCACTGGAGGCAACTTTGAGATACTGAAGAAGTAAGGCATCTTTCAAATACATTTGATCTAAAATTGACTTTCTGATATCACTTCTTTAACTAGGGACCCAAAGGCCCATTGAACTAGTCCTAAATGCATTTTATTGAGTGACCCAAATTTTAAGATCTAAGTACTTTTCAGATAGAGAATGGAGAACCCATGAACACCTAGGGATCAGCAAAACATCCCCAACAATTTTCCAAGTGTTTTATTTTTGGCAAAACTCAATTTAACTCATTTTGCAAGCACTCTTCCCTCCAGTTTTTAAACCCATGGGTCTTTCAAAGGAAATTTAATCCATATGTTTCTGATTCATTTACATTTTAAGTCATAAAAATGTTATTTTTATAAGAGCTGTTTGATATCCAAGAAACTTTCTGAGCCTTTTAAAAAATCTCTTTAAAGTCTTGTTGGTTGGAGCCAGGGAGCAGACATGGTGTGTGATGCACCACCCGAAAATGTGATCCAGACACTCAACCATAGACTGACCTCAGAACAATGCTTGCCACACTGAGCCAAAAAAATAATGGCAACGAGATGATCAAGAAAGTTGGTCTGGACACCAGAGAATCCTTAAGAAACACAAAAGAAGCCAATGGCAAATGATAGCAAAGGTTAAGGTAGTATTCATCAGTGTGTCATTGATGTGTTTGGGCATATAAGGACCAGACTTTCCTATGTTACAGCAAGCTATCATTTCTGGCAGCTTTCAGGAAGATCTGCAGGCTTCTTCAGGACAAAGTCCAGTATCATCACCCAAATATTTTATGTGAAGAAAATCGTGCCTTTTCTCAGTATTGTATATAATAGTAAAACATCAGAAAAACAACATCCAAAGGACTCTCAATTAATTTACTGCATTTATTTAGAGTACTAGGCAGTGATTAAAAGGATGATGATGTAAATATGTATTTAATGATACAGAAAGATGTTTGTGATACATTGCTAAATAAGAAATGTGAAAAAAACTGTAAATGATATTGGCACCACATTTTTGGTTAGGCAAAAAAAGATATAAAAATATGTTTTTATATATGCACATGAAAATACTAAAAAGGAATTGTGGTTAGGATAACTGATAGGATTGGAATGTTTTTCTTTGCTTAGCTTGGTTATATTTTTTCACTTTTCTACAATACGCATTGTGTAAGTTAACAAAAAAATTACTTTTGTCTGCACTTTAAAAATTGTGTGGAATAGTATTCCTGTAATATTGTGAGAGAGCAGTGCCCTTCTTTTTCTCCTCATTTCTTTTGCTCAGGAACAATAGTGCATGGGGTCCAAGCCGGAGGGGGTGCTACAGCAAGCACAGATGATCAAATCGTCTGAGATTGCTGGAATGCAGTTGTTCATCTGGAATGGCTGAATATATGGTGACCATGCTTTCTGAACCCCAAATTGGTCACACGATCTAACATGTGTGGGGTGTACGACAGGATAGATTATTTTAAATCAGAACCGCTCTCAAAATTTTGGATATATGGTCATTCTGGCTACCAGGCACATTGCTCCAGAAAGGAAGAAAAATTCTAAAAGGCAACCTAAGGAGCCCTCTGAAGGATAAAATAATGGCTGGTAATTTATAAAACTGCAGTTGCTCATACTGAACATCCACTGAACAAGGAGAACTCTTGTGATTCTCCCTTGTGTAGATGTAGACAGCATTTTAAATCCAAAGGACTATTACTTTCACATCTGTTGGCATCCATTCAGTTGCTGTCTGAAGGACTCCCTGCACAAAATGTGCACAACTGCCAATATTAATTATCTCATAAATTCTCCTGAAAACTGTAAAATGAATGTTTTCTCCTAAAGAGCCATTCTCCCTAATACCGTTAGCACCCCATCTCCTCTCCCCTTTGCTACCATCCCCACCAACCTCAGGCCGGGTTCTGAATCACAAGCCATTTTACGTTCTGTTCAGCTGGGCTCCTAAGACCCTCTTTGATCATAAAGACAGGGCAAATCAAAGAAGAAACATCCTTTTCTGAGACCCCATTAGTAGAGAAAAGTGAGATAAATAATGCTTAATGCTCTCATTAAAAAAAAAGTGATTCCACAGCATTCTAATCAAAAGGAATAGGATAAGTCTAGAATTCAATTAATTATCATTTAAAATTAAGTTATTTCAAAACCCTGGAAAGACTTTCTGTTTTAACATTCTGTGATTATTTTATTTAAATATATTGTATTCTCACCTTCTGAAATGACTGAATTCATTTTAAACAGACATTAACTTTGAAGCCAAAAATGATGAAAAGCTTAACCAACTGGCTTGTCATGGTTAATCATACTCTCCTACCAAACACTTTTTGTTCAACTCACAAGAATATAAGCTCTCAGCTCCAGGTACTATGGGACAGTTCTCAAATGCTGGCAAATCTGTCTTCCAATAAACAACATTTTCTTTAACAATTTATCAGGATCCTAGTTATGGATAAATGTCATGTAGAGGCAATGTCCTCTCCAGGTGACACCTACATAAATGAACCTCAAAAGTCCTTCAAAGCAAAACAATGGGATGATTTACTGATCCCCCGACTGAGAAAAAGTGTGTGTGTTTGTGTGTGTGTGAGAGAGAGAGAGAGAGAAAGAGAGATTGAGAGAGAGAAACTGATTTGGTCTTTGATATATTCATCCCCGAGTTTCTAGGGTTGTCATTGTGTCATGGGTTTTGGATTCAAATATCACCGAAGTAGTGGCACCCAATATTAGACTTCATATGGAATATTATTACAGAGCATAGTAATAAATGAATAATTATCTAATCATATTAACCATTCATTCATTCATTCACTCGTTCATTCATTCGATAACTAGAGAACTCACTAAATGGCAGCCATTAGGTATTGGGAACACAGAGATGAGTGAGACAAAACCCCTGCTCTCAATGAATACTCCAGCAGCTGGACAAATGAACCAATTAAAAACTGTGGGGTGAGCCATACAAAACAATGAAAATTGTATAGGGTACTATGAGAGGAAAGATAATGTTCTCAGAAAAGTTGGCACTTGAGATAAGTTTTAAAGAATAATTAGGAGTTAGTCAAACCAAGAATGGGGAGCAAATGGAAAACCTGTGTGAATGCAGGAAATGAATAGATGAATGAATTTTTGGTACTTCTTGATCAATGGGTATCATACCCCTACCAACTAAAGCTAGTGGGATAGATCCCTCTTCCCTCCCAAAAAATGAAAAAGAGCTAAGCCGTGATCAGATTTATATTTAAAAATAATCAAATAGAAAAAGCACATTTTGGTTTATATATGCTCCTCATTCTAAGAAGGTTAATCTTTTTTTATCAGAAATCCAGTAACATTTTATCTAGTGCTGCGACTGAATCATCTTCAACCAAACTCAGACTTTTCTGGAAAGCAAATGAGAAATTGTGCAATGTCTGAGGATACTGTATTACTTTTTGAAACATAGAATATTGCGTGTTTGAAAAAGCATAGACTTAGGTTTGAATCCCAGCTTCCCCACATAACAGCTGTGTGACCGAGCAAATTAACTTTTCTGAGACTCAGTTTCCTCATCTGGTTTATTAGTGGCAGAGATTTCTTCCCTGTTTAATTTCTTCCCTATTTAATACAGCTGTTGGGAGAATTATATTAAATAGTGTCTATAAAGGTCCTGATATAGTATCTGGCACCGGTGCATGTTAATTCTGTTTCCTTTCCCTTTTCTTAGGGATGGGGGTTTGGAACAGGGGAAACAAGATAGTCATAACTCACCAATTTTTAAAGTACTGCCCATGTTCAGGCAACACTGATATTCGCCTAGTTGGTCTCATGTAAGTCGGCCAAGCCTGACTCAGTCTGACCATGTTTCCTTTCACTAGCTGGAAAAAAAAAATATTTAGTTATGGATCTTGGATACTAATAGAGAGCTAACACTCACCATTTCATTTACACAATGGAGAGACACCTGCAACATAGCTTGTAGAACAGAAAAGAATTGTTATAAAAAATATTTCCCATGGCAGCAAAGACACTTACGGTTAATGAGCTAATAAATATTGTCAAGTGACCTTTCCCTTGCCAAGTATTAAATCGTAAAGAGAGGGGGAAGGGAAGGATTAGAACTGAGTATTTGCTACAGAGTTCAAATTCTGGGACTTCTTCTAGCTAACTTTTATTACTATTGACCATATTTTAGGCTTGTCAGGCCACTAATTCCCCATATTGCTAGACACCACAAGTTCTCTAGGGCAGAGACCCCTTTCTTACAGGCCAGCGTCTCGTAGAAAGCATAATGTTCTTTCTCATGTCAGTAATGGCCCTTTGCATGTTTGCTTCTCTTTCTGCTGCCAGAGTAAAGGGGGGAGATTGGTCTTCTCTCCTGCAAAACTAGCCATTTTCAGTCTCATTTCTCTCCAGAAATTGTTATGAACACTTGTTCTCAATAGTTGCCTAAAAATACATAGATTTAGAAGTTCTAATCCTAATACTTCATTCTAAATATCTGAGCTCTTCCAATTCTTATTTTTACTTTACGTTTTGTACCACAATTTTATTTATGTGTGTAAATACATACAGAAAACAACATCACATATAATTTGGTAAGATTAAAGAATATATATGAAGCAAGGTAGAGTGAGTGCTTATGACAGAGCACAGGAACAAGAGAGGTGAGTGGAGATAGAAAGGGGAAAAATGTGAATTTCTTTATGTAGATTGGAGATGACCAAGGGCAATGAGCTGATGGGTGTGATTAAATCAACTCCCTGCACCTACAGTCCAAAATCATAAGTAATGTTTTGAACGCTACTGAGGGATAATGCTGAATAAGGCAACCATCACACATTATATAACCAAGTGGCTGATTATAGGTATTCTGATTCTATCAGAGGAAACTTACTTCTTTTTGTGATACTATTTTATATCAGGCATGCATAGAGATTTCAGTGTTTTCATTTAGAACCAGTACTGAACCATTATGGAGATAGCCAGTTCCTGGAATGTGAAGTTAGGAACAAAATGTAATCAATCATTTCAAGCTAGACTAATGTGGACTAACCATCCATTCTCACCAATTCTTTTTTAATCTGACTGATATTACAACTCACCATTTCTTCAATCTCTAAAGATAGCTAATGTGATAGTTTAAAAAGGTATTCCCAGATTCTTAGATGTACCTTCCTTCAAAAAGTAGAGCCGAATTCCCCTGACCTTGAGTATGGGATGATTTTAGTGATTTCCAATTAATAGAATGTGGTGAAAATGATGGTGTTAGACTTCCAAGATTAGGCCATAAAAGGCCTTGTGACCTCTTTTTTTTTTTTTTTTTTTTTCCTTCTCTCTCTCTCTCTCTCGGACTTTCTACTTTGGGAAAAATCAGTACCATGTTGTGAGTATTGTCACGTAATCCTATGGAGAGACATACCCCCCTCCCTGAGCAAGGAATGTAGACCTCCTGTCAACAGCCACTGAGGCAGTCATCTTGGAAGTCGCTTCTCCAGCCCTAGTCAAGCCTTTAGATGACTTTAGCCCTGGCTGATACTATGTCTGCCTCCTCCTGATAGACCATGATCCTAAGTTACCTAGCCAAGCTGCTCCTGAATTTCTGGCACACAGAAACTCTGAGATATATCCTTCATATCTCAACTTGGTTGTCTAAAAAGAAACCCACCCCACAACAATTCCCACCTCACAACAAATTGGCTGTTTGTTTCATCAACTACCCAAACGCCAAATCTGGAAGTTATGCTCCATCCTCTCTTTCTCTTAACTCCCAAGTTTAACTCACCAGAAACTCCTACTTGGACTTACCTCCAGATGTACCCTTCCCTCTCACCTGGCCTGCCTCTTCTCTTCCTCTCAA